TTAAACAAGTGCTATAATTATTTTATTGTTATCAGAGTCCAAGTTATCTTTGGTATTTTTAGGATGCACATTTTTCAACAATCCTGAATTATAGGTTTATCTTGAAATCTGTATGAGTAGTAGAAAATTAACATGTTGGAGCTGGTGACTGCATTCCATTTTTACCTGCCACGTTTTAGTTATTAGTGGCGGTAAAAGGTTTAACCCATTACGGGCTGGTGTCAACATATAGTTGTTCATCAAGTTTTTGCGTCGAGCTCAGGTGCCAGCATTATGATGGCACTCTATGTGGCTATGACTATGTTCTTTAAGGAGTACTAAATAGTGCAGAAAGTTTGCGTACTATGCATCTAGCTTGAGATATATAGTTTCCAATGTCTCTCTCGATGTCTATTATCTGGGATAGTCAGTCTCTCTACTCTGATTTTATCTTACTTGGTAAGTAAAGCACACAGAAGGGGAATAAACAATAAAAAAATTGAAATCACAGAACAAGCATTCTGCAGCTTTACAAATGCCAGCTCAAGCGTCTACTTTGACAGCCTGTCCGCATTGGGTTAATTAGATTTGTTATGTAGCTATATGGTAATCAGATCTTATCCTGTGGGATATTGAATTCTCTTTCTGTATTAGATTAGTTTTTGCTTTTTATTTGATAGATTAGCATGAATTAGTTTGCCTTGTGGTTAGAATTCTTTGCTCTTTATATACTGAATATTATGGTAATGATGTACCTTAATCAGGCAAGATGTCACAAGTACCCATGTGTTCAAAGAAAAATGACTTGTGTTTTGCGTGTTATTTAAGGTTTACAGTCGGTCATTCTCTCTCTGTCTCACACACACACAGACACACACACACGACACACACACACACAACACACACACACAACACAACACACACACACACACAACACACACACACAGACACACTCTCTCCTCTCTCTCTCTCGCTCCTCTCTCTCTCATTCTCTTCCTCTCTCATCTCTCTCTCTTCTCTCTCTCTCTCAACACACACACACACACACAGCACACACCACACACACACCACACACGACATGCACACACACACACACATGTGTGGCACACACATCGACACCACACACACTACATCGACACCATCCTCTCTCTCTCCGAATCTCTGCTCCTCTCTCTCTCTTTCTCTCTCTCGTCTCTCTTCTCTCTCTCGTCTCTCTCTCTCTCTCTCTCTCTGCTTCCATCTCTCTTCTCTCTCTCATCTCTTTTCTCTCTCTCTCTTCTCTCTGATTGTCTCTCTCGTCTCTCTCCCTTCTCTTCTCCCTTCACTCTCTCTCTCTCCTCTCTCCTTATGCGGTATATGAGCTTCGTTGCTCTCATTCTGTCTTGGGCGTTCTTCTGAGGGAGGACCTGTTAGGTCGGGTTAGTAAGGCATTAGAGGTCATTTCTTGAGTTTGTGGTTCCGCATGTGGTTGGGCATGGTTGTCGGCTTCTCGTCGGGTGTGTGACTGTGATAACGCGGGGTGTTACTTCTGAGGGCGTTTGCGGTGCCTCTGTCTGTCTTCTATTCTCGTCGCTTCTTTCTGTCGTCTCTGCTCTATCTTGTTGGCTCTCCCTCAGTCCGGCTGGGGGTTCGTGCTCTTCTCTCTCTACACAAGGCACATGTCTGTCACAATGAATGCACGACATCATCAGAACGGTGGCGTATCACACACACATCACATCACATTGTCGTAGGGACGAAGAGATTTATGGAGTCGGAAAAATGCAACAAAAACAAACAAAACACACACACATCATACAAGGGGTTAGAGGGGCCAGGCCACACACTACACAATGAACAAACACAATTAGTCACAAGACACACACGACGAGCACATGATGGAGGTAACGCAGTACACAGCATACAAGACATCGTCACACACAGACACACACAGACCGCACACAGACACAACAGACACAGACACACGACACAAGCTGTCAACACACAGACACGGCACACTCACACACACACACTCTCACTCTCTCACTCTCTCTTCTCATACTCACCTCACATTCACACTCACACTCACACTCACACTCACCCTCACACTCACACTCACCCTCACACTCACCCTCACCATCTCACTCACCCTCACACTCACACTCACACTCACACTCACACTCCACCCTCAACCTCACCCTCACCACCCTCACCCTCCCCCTCACCCTCACCCTGTGTCCACTTGTATTCTCACTCAAACTGGAACTTGAATTCTCACACTTACACACATTCTCAAATTGATATTCATATTTGCATACACATGTACTCATAATTATACACAGATGCACTTGCTGTAACATTGTAGTAACTTGCTCTCACTCACTAAAACAAATTGACTTGTTTAACTTGTTTAGAAATAATTTAGTAGGGAACTGAATAAGGAAGTTAACTATTTAATGCATTTTGTTTTAAAATTTGTAACATAATTGACTGATATATGGATATCATTGAAGGCAAAATATTTTCTATTCCAAATTCTGGAAAGTGTATTAAAGCTGCATATTATCTGTACTTCGAAGTCATACATGCAAGTGATACCTTATTTCTCCTTAGTTATAGTTAAAAACACTGCTTCATGTATGTACCCCGGTGACTTTTATTTATATGCACTTTTGAGAAAAAAGGTGCATACAAAGCAGGTCTAGATGTGCCTTACATCATTTCATACAATGCCGAATTTTGTATTTGAATTCAGCATGTATGTGTTTTATTTAGCTTTAAACTATCAGTGGGAAGATTTCAACAATTGAATGTTATTAATATTGTCTTTTCTTCTTTGTCATTCCATGCTTAACTCTTTGAAGCAGAAAAAAGCACCTGCAGAACCAACAACAGTTCAGACACCTGACTCTGCTAATCTCAAAGTCAATCAGGTATTTGGGTTTTCTATAGAAATGAAATGCATTTTTTCCTCTCTTATGAATTGATCCAGCTTCATTTGTCATTGTCTTGTAAGCAAAAGGACTTATCTGTACCCTAAGTATGTATGATATATTTATTGCTCCGTCCCGTTGTCTTGAAACAGTAGATGTTTGTGGTTTGGAAGGATCTTGAATCATATTCCCCCTGCACTGCACTTTTAATAAATTCCTAGAAGAGGTTTAAAAGATTTCCCTTTTGCACAAGTCTTCCCAGATTCATCACTTATATATATATGCTTTTTTCACCATGAATACAAGATGCATTGTTGGGCTGTGAATACATGTGTGGTACTCAATATTTTGTCTTTGTTTTCAAAGAAAGTCTTTTCATTTGGTATGTAAAATTATGATAGGTTGAGGGTGTACTGTAACCATTTCCAGCCAATTGTCACTAATAACTTAAATGTGAGTTGCTAAGAATTGCTGATAATTCTCAACAATCAAGAAAATATTGTTCTTTTAGTTCTGAAATTGAACTTAGTAGTTTTGATATTTCTGAGTAATGGAAAATATTTATTTTTCTTTGACTCTTAGATCAGATTTTAACTGTTTGGATCTTAAATGAAATGACTAAGGGCAAATGAACAGTTACTTTTGTGTGATTATATTGCAACATTTTGTCAGTTAAATGGACTTGGAAGTCATTATTTTGGGTATTAGCTTTTTCCATAAAGTTTGCAGAAGAATGTTGATTTTCTTAAGTATGAGCATGAAAATGTTTCTTTTTCTGAAAGAGAATTAATCTTTAAAAGCAAGCATTGTAGACTTTGATGAGGATGGTTGATAAATTCTTTAGTCAACAATTTCTGGTTGGATGGTAGGTTTCCTCAAAGTAAGAACTTTCAGGATAAAGTCAAGTTCTTTAATATTTAGTAAACAGTAATTTGCAGTCATGTTAGATTTCTGCAAAGCAATGCAGTCATTTGTGTTATTGCCACTTAATCATTTCTTTACCTTACATCACATCTACATCTTTCGCAAAATAAGGACGACGAACAAGAAAATAAGGTCAGAATATATATTATATGAACCCTATGATCCCATTTCTGAAGAACAGAACTCTCTGTAGTATAAGCATTACATGTTGGTTTAGTTTCATAGTGCATGAAATCTCTGAAATCATCTGTATATAATATGATTGTATTTATCTGTACTTATAATACCTGTATGAATACATGTGAAGTTTCTCTTCAGGAAATGGGCATAGGTAAGAATGATTCTAGAAATAAAGTTGGTAATGATGTTTGGAATGCAGTTGTGATCTTTATCATTTTGATTTTCATGCTCTGCAAGCTTTGAATGTGCAGTGGAAAATTACATTTTGCTAACTTTAAGGCATTATTTGTAAGTGTACAAATGCTTAATACATGTATAACTGTTAGTACTATATTGTATTTTAATTGCAGTAATAGAGATAATCTTTTTTTACAGTTATTATATTTAGGCAGATATAATTGGAGAAGATAGAAATATGAGGTTGAAAGAAATATTGCATACTGTATGGATATTTAGTTCAGTATTTCATGATCATCATTTAAGTAGTTTGATATCAGAAGAATGTTTTGGATCTAGAGAATACAACGAATAGCACAGAAAATATTTACATTGACAAGAAAAATCATCTAAGCTTTTACATCATATAGTTTTCATCTTCTTAAATTATGATTCTGCGACATTGGTATTATACAAATAAGTATGTGTGTATACATATATATATATTTATATATATATATATATATACATATACGTATTGGGGGTTGTACAAAATAAGTATAACTGTTGTATACATATATATATGTATAGTGATATAGTGATTACGTATGTATATATGGTAATTATATTATACTGATTCTGGAGCGGGTGGGGGGATCGCTGAG